CTGAGCTCCTTGGCATCTGAGCATGGATATAAAGTCATCAGGTAGATTTCAGTGGCAATGTTTTTCACATCTACTAATTATTAAGGAGCAAATTTTTATGCTTTGAAGAATTATTATTTTTTATCATTTGTAATTTGTAATAACTCCATGATTAGAAGAAACATTTCACCACAGCTTTAACATATTCAGTAACACACTCCAGAGCAATGAGCTAGTATTTTTGAAGTAATAGATTGGGTGATAACAATCAGAGAAAAGCAAGATAACATCATTATTATTATATGAGTGATTCTAAACCCTTAGGAGGAATGCAGAATTGGGGAGCATTTCTAAGTTTTGTTACTTTGCTTTTTAGTTAGCATGAAAAACGGAGGATTTCACTGTGACACTTTGACATACACCATCAGGCGTCCCTCATTGTGACACTTTCATGTGCACCATCAGTCACCCCTCATATCTGTGGTTATTGCCCTCTTTGGGACCTTTCCCCCACACTGAGGTCTTCTACGTTCATGCCATGATATGTGCCTCTATATATGTACATATATATATATATATATAAAATCTCCATATTTACTGTATACATGTAAGAGATGATATGGTAAGTGTCTCACTTCCCCCTTTTAGCAATGAGCTTGGTATACAATGAGACTGTATTCATTGTCAGGTATTTTCACTATTATGCCCATTCAGTGAAAGCCTTCAAAGTAGAACTACATCTCTTTTCCCTGTGTTTTCATTGAAAATCTCTGGCCTTATAAAGAATGTCTGGGTGTCTGAAGGACAAATATTGAATTAATCAATAGTGAGTATGAAAAGACAATAATAATTTCATAAGACTATGGTGACTCTTTGGAGTCACAATGTTCATCCCTGCATGCTGTCAGTGAAATAAGCTTTTCAATTCAAATTTATACCGAATTCATTGAACACATTACATGGCTTACAGATGGCTCACCCCATGTAATTCTTATAAAACACAATAGCGAGGCAATTTGCCTTAACTATAACTTTCTTTTGGTGTATTCATGGGTAAGAAAACCCTTCCTCATCAGAGGACTTAGATGTATCCTGTCTGTATAGTTGTAGTCTTTCATAATTCTCTTTGCCTGCTTCTTAAATCTAGATAGCAAAGATTCCTTATATAATGCACATAGAAAAGTATCTGAATTCTGTGATTTTTCCTCTTTGTGCTGCTTTCTACTACACTAGAGAAGAAATGAAGTCCCTCCAGGAAGCCCTGCGGAATCAGCTTAAAGAGGAATCCGAGAAAGCAGAGAAGCACCAGGCCACCGTGAGTCTTTTCTTCTATGTCCTTCTGGTCTGGGTGCTGGGAGTACAGTTCTTTTCTTACAATCACTATGGAAACAAACAAGTAAGAAATGTTAAAGATGAAGGCACAGTAGCAGAAGCTTCAGTCTCCTTGATCAGTCTTTGTTTTAGTTATAAGCAAAGATGAGTGTTGAGTTTGACCCCTTGGGTCCTGTGGCTCTCAGCCTTCTCCATGGGACATGAATCAAGAGCGAGAGCTGGTATGGGGATGGCTCAGGCTCACAGTAGTGGCTCATGGATGGGGCTGAAGATGACCTTGAAGCCAGATAAGCCGTGCACATCTTAATCTGTACCCCACAGGTGTGGACTGGGAAATCCCTCAGGGGCAGCGTCATGCCATCTGTTTGGTTGTCAATTTTACAAGTTACTCATGGGATTAAACAACATGCAGATTAAGGCTCCAACTGCTTTCCAGATCTTTCTCTCACAAAATAACCATTTCTCTCTCCCTTTGACCCTTCCATTTCTGCTTTTATAAGTGATGTTCACCAAAGGCAGGAAGATGGGCCTCCAAGTCATGCTGGGAAGCAGATTTCTACCTCACTCCTCAGATTCACTTTTGGGCCCCTGATGAGGACGAGGCCTTTTATCTTGTCTCCAGTGCCTGAGACTTCTTTAAAAATGAGGTACAGCCAGGGCATGGTGGCACACAGCTTTGATCCCAGCACTCTGGAGGCAGAGGCACACAATATCTGTGAGTTCAAGGCCAGCCTGGTCTTATAGAGCGTTCCAGGCTAACTGAGGCTCCAGGGAGACCTGTCTCAGAAACAGGGAAAAAAATGATATGCTGTATCATAAAAATTTTGATATTTATTACAGACCAACCAATCTATAACTAATAAAGCGTTTATTTTGTGTAGTTCCCAGAAGGATGTTATGTCATGCACAGGGCCATGCATGGGAAGCTAGGGATGGTCACCAGGCAGAATGTCCATGGGGAACTGAGCAGAAGTTCTTATTTGGATTTTTGAGGTAGTGCAGTGCTGAGGCAGGAGAGGCTTAGGACTGGGCACAGTGAAGGATGTCAGGGTTCTATCCAGACACAGGGGTGGCTTTCATGGTGAGGATCTGCCCTTCGGGTGACATGGGAAGGTCTTCAGAGGTATGCACTGGGACCAGTGGATGTTATTTCTGAGTTGACTGATCTGTGTTTGAAACATGGTACCAGTAGGACTTGGCCTATTGTGGCTACAGTGAAGGAGGCTGGAGGACGTGGCAGGGGATTTCAAGCATGGCACTAGATTGGTCAGAATGAGATTGATTCAGCACGGTTCTTAGACCAGACATTTTCTGGAGAACCAAGATAATGAGGCATCAGTTTTAAAAGCTAGAAATGTGTTTAGTTGGTTATACATCTTGGGCTATACAGGAAAGTCAGTCTTTTGTTTTCAAAACATCTTTTAACAATGTTGATTAAAGAGGGGAGTTTTGCTTCTGAAACCCAGTTTTATACCTGAGACAACTGATTCTTGGGATGTCAAGAACTATCTTTTTTTTTTTTTTTTTTTTACTTTTAAACAACATTTAAAACTTTTATTGATTTTGTGTGTGTGTGTGTGTGCGTTTTAAGAGAGAGAAAGAGAGAGAAGAGAGGAAAGAGAAGAAAAAAGAAAAAGTCATTGAGTCAAAATTGTGTCCCCAGTTTCCCTTCAGTATGGGTCCATCCATGGAAGGCTGGACAACTTATTGAGCATCACACCCTTAAAGAAAACTGGCTCCCCCTCTCTGAGCAGCCACCAGTTGCCAATATTTCCCCAGCCAGGACTGGGGCCGTCTACTGATCTCTCCACTTCAACGGTGTTCCATGCTAGGACTGTGTCAGGCTTCAACTTAAATGAATCTGTGTACTCTGTCACCACCGCCATGAGCCAGAAGTGGTGGACGACCAGGAGTAAAATTTCTTTTTTTATTATTGTTTTGATTTTGGACATGGTCTCCCTATAACACTAGGTGGGCTGGAACTCACTATTCAGGCCAGGCTGCCCTTGATCTCACTGATAGTCATTTTCCTCTGTCTCCTGAGTACCAGATTTAAAGCTTGGGCCACCATATCTCACTGGCAGACTATCTCTTAATGAAGGTTTCCTATAATAGAGGAATGTTTCCCATGAAGGATTTTTTATTTAATTTTTATTGAATTTTTGAGGTTTTTATACCACATTCTTTTGCTGGTCTTTAGATGCCCTCTGCTTTCTGCCCCTCTCGCACTGCTCCCACCCTATTTAATGTGTGTGTGTGTGTGTGAACCTGTAGAATGATTTATATTCCCAATTGTCTTTCAGTGTGGAGCCATCCCCTGGGCCCACTGAGAGTCCCACATTTGTAAGACAGTATTGTTCCCATTCCCAGCAGCCATCAACTGCCAAAAGTTCCACAGGTTGTGTTGGGATTTCTCACTTAGTTCCCCATGTATAATGCTGAAAATTTTTCTGGTTTGAACTTACTTACATAAGATTTCTGCATGCTCTCCTCAATGCTGTGAGTTGTCTCCATCTGTTATAAAAAGAAACTTCCTTAGTAACTTGTGCAATATAAATTCCGAAGAGCAAAGTTTGAAATAGTAGGGAGCCAAGGTTGGATGCATGGCTCAGAAGTTAAAAGCACTGGCTGCTCTAGCAGAGGACTTGGGTTCAGTTCCTAAAAACCATAGGGCAGCTAACAACCATCTGTAATTCTGGTACTAGGGAATCAAATATCCTCTTCTGACTTCTGTGGACATTGCAAAATACAGGTACACTTACATACATGCAGACAAAACTCGCATACACAAAAATTAGAAATAGATAAACAAAAGAGTAGAGTGAGGAAATTTGTAGATAGCTTTGATTACCAAGGTGAGTAGTTTAAATATTTTTGCCAAGAATAAATTATTAAAGGTGTTTTCCTGTGAAAGTGACAATCACAGAGGTGTAGCTCTGAAAGTCTTAATTTGCCATAAGAGGTAAAATAAATTAGAAGGAAGAGGCATAAAGAAATTATTGTGTCCTGGTATCAACTGGCTCTGAGAAGGATGACTAGGCAATGTACATGAGACACTAAGCTGTTAAACCTAGACTGAGATCAATTAACAAACAGGATAATGGGGGGAGGAGAAACTTCCTTAATGAGGGATGGAAGGTACACTCGTCTCTAAATATGTAGATACATATTTAACACAAAGTAAAAATTACATTGGTCTAGGGATGTGGCAAAAGTAGGCTTTTCTCTATGATGTATGAGCTCTCTAGTTATGTGTGTTTGACTATGTTTACAGTACCACACATGAGTTCCCTCCAATTGAGCAGACCAAAACTCCAGTTAGAATGCAGTTGATTACCCAAGAAATAAAAATGGCACTACTGTACCAGTAGTGACAGTTTGCTTGGCCAGTTTTTGTTATTCATTAACCTTTATAGCTGGTTAGGACCACCTATTGATTTTCTTCCCAGACTGCTTGTATTTCATGGTGTCCTCTAATACCATGAAAGCTTGTCTTCAGGGAGGAGGCTTCTAGGTCAGCACACTGGAGGAAAAACAGCATCTTCAACAAATGGTGCCTGAAAAATTGCATCCCCATGGTTACAAGAATGGAATTAGACTCATACCTATCACCCTGCACAAAATTCAACTCCAAATGAATCCGTGACCTCAATATGAAGCCTATAATAGTGAAACTGTTAGAAATAACATAGGCAGTATCCTACAAATGTAAGTGCAGGAAAGTACTTTTTAAATTGGACATCAGTTGCTCAGGAATTAAAGTCAGTAATCAACAAGTGGGTCCTCATTAAACTAAAAAGCTTGAGTAAACCAGCTATTCATCCTACAGAGGATTAATATGCAGAGTATACAAAGAATTAAAAAACAACAAGCAAGAAAACAAACAACCCAGTTAAAAAATGGACTATGGATACAAACAGAGGTCTCTCAACAGAAGAAATGAAAATGACTAAGAAATACCTTAAAAAGTATTCAACATCCTTAGAAATTAGGGAAATGCAGATCAAAACCACTTTAAGAATTCATCCAACCCCACTCAGAATGAGTAAGATTAAGACAACAAATGACACTAAATGCTGGCATGAATGAGGAGAAAGGTTGGTGGGATTGTGAACTGTTTTCCTGCTTTTACCAGTTGGACTTCATCTGAGTTTGTCTGATGTATCTGAAAATTAACAGCTGTGAGAATAAGTGCGCTGTATTCTCCTCCTCAGCTGCTCATAATGAAATCCAGGCTATTTTACTTGTCTTTACTGAGAAGTTATAACTCATAGGAGGAAAATTTCTAGCTTGCTTTAGCATTGTTTGCAGGAGCCAAGGCGTTTGCGCACGGTGATTTCAGCACTTCACACAAACTGAAACCTCAGAGAAGAGAGCTCCGATCTTTGAAAGAACAGAAGCCAAAGTTTGAATATCCAGTGCGAAAACTGTCATGCACACAGAGTGCCACTTCACGCCTGCTTCCTGGAGCTTGTAGTTTTCCTTAATATTTCTATTAATTGTGAAATCACCTACAAGGACATATGTTAGCATGTAGTTCAGAGCAAGACTGTTCTGGAAACGTTCCTAGTACACCATTTTCCTGTGGTCTTGATCAAGGTCTTTAGTTTCTTACAAGTTTTCTTATTTATCCAATAACCAGGGTAAGTCCCTGAAATTCTACTCAGCCTGTCGATGATAGCGGACATGAAAGTAAGCACCTCCCCCTCTGCTTCCATTTAATCTTGTTTTCCTCGGTGGCCATTTCATTTTTCTACCAATCCTACTTACTCAGTTTAGGGTTCTGTACATGCAGAGCTCTGAGCAGAGTGGGAAATAGACTGTATCTACCTCAGAGCTGTGAGCTACCATCACCACAGCTGTCTGTCAGTGACACAGAAAGCATAATCAAAAACAGTGTATGATAGATATTTGACAAGGGAAGATTAAAAATAATCTTCCTTAGTTTGGGTATTGCAGTGCTTCAACTATAAGTCACTGCTC